AAAAAAAAAATTGAAGCTTCATCGTCTTTTTGGATTTTTTACCATTAAACCTGTCCAGGATTATAGGACATAACATTCATCATCTTCGATATGTATTACCAAAATAAGAAAAGAAACAAATCTGGAAAAAAAAAAAAAAAGTATAAGAAGGATACACTATTTTTACCTCTCAAGTCTTGCAGCCTCAGCTATCATTGCATCAATCACAACATCAGCCATTGCAGAGCCCAAGTTTTGTAATGTCAAAAAAATCATGAAAGAAAGCCGGGAGCCCCTTAAGGATTCATTGATGCTCAAGAGGAGCCACGGGAAAAGAGACAGCAATGTTGCAATCACCAAGTAAGGGATCCTTTTCCTTCCTCGAATTGGTATGCAATCCGACACGATTCTGTAAAAGTAAAAACGAGTTGAACTTGAACATATATTTTATGCCCATTACAGTATATGTAGGCCCTAATGATTGAAAGTTGGCTCAATGCAGTAAAATGATAGACCACCACACATATATAATAATATTTTTACACATGCAGGATGAGCTGAAAGATGGTTTTTTCTCATCGGTTATAGAGTGGTCACTCCAAGTTATCCACACACAGCAATAGCACCTTCATACTATGAAGTTAACGAAAATCATAATGTTCAACTTTATTTGTCATTTCCTGATCCATGGTGCATATCTATATTAGTTGCTTTTTGGTGTAGAAAGTGCCATTGTTTTATATCAAATAAAAGCTACTTCATCTTTACACGAAAGTTCTGAGTTTTTAGATGTTCACAACCAATCACCGTAAGTTTTATTCTCTTTTTTAACAAAACTCAGTGTGTATATCCAAATTAGACATCCTTCACACTGGAAACATAGTAAGAAGCATACCCATATATTGGCTTGATGCTCCATGGAAAAAAGGCTACTGAGGTCACAAACTGGGAGGCAGAAGGCGATAACTTTAGCCTGTCTTTTAGCTGATATGACACCGCTGTCCATACGAATGATCTAAAACCCTGGTTTGACAGAATAGTATATAAGCCATGCAAGTATAGACTTTAGAGTGATAATTTCAGCAAACACGATAAATAGTAAAAATAAGTTCAGAGATTACTGTGTATCTTTACAAGGATGCACAACATGATGCAAACAAAGTCAATGAAACAATTTATATTTTCATCTCCTACTTTTGAACAATATCAAGCGGTAAGACCAACAATCTGATTTATCCTATTCAAATACAAGCTTTTCAATGACGGTAACATTTTTACTTATTACGAAATGCTCTTCCTCATTTTGATTTCAACTAAAAACTAATTTTAACATTCTCACAGATATCTTCTAGCAGTATAACATAGGTAACTATCATATCCCACATCATATGCAGACGAATAGCAGCAAGAAAAAACTAACTAAAATTCTCCGGGTCGATTTTATTTCTCTTCTATAGCTAAATTAGACCCTCCTATCAGCATAAAAAGATATAGCCTCCTCATTAACACTAAAACTTACGATATCTCAGGAAGATCACAGTAAACCACAGCGAAACCATTGCAATCACAACTGATTCAACCAGCCATTTTTTTATCAACTCAACTTCACACACCCAGAAAGGGAACAAACAGAACAACGATACTGACAAACAAGAATTAACTGAAATCAAGAAATCAAAAATCAATTAAACGACGAACCCACAAATAAATTAATGTCGAGGTGAAATACATTGTACAAATCGAACCTGGGTGAAGTAAATCAGGCAAACCAGCCACAAAAAAGAGGCCCCAAATGCGACCTGTAATTTCTTGAGCCACCGTATCATTTTTTTTCCCCCTTTCTTTTTCGTTGGGTTCCCACAAATCTGCAGCTCGAAGATCTAAATCGATACTTTTTTTTAACTTGTGGTGACTGAATAATTCGTCTCACTATTCTTCATCTTCTTGAGATGTATATGTGATCAGATAGTAAGGTTTTGGGAGATTCAAATTCGAAGAATAAGAATTAACGAAGAAAACTTCGAATTCCCTCCTCTCTTGTAACCTCAACTGTTCCAGTTGTGTTGTGATCTGCTGACTGTAATGTAATCTTTTTTTCTCCATTTTGTTTTACTTTTCCTTCATCATAAATCAAATTCTAACCAATTGGCTCTTGCCATTTGGCACTTAAATACCTAAATTGTGTAATTAGTTTTCTAGAAAGGAAGGTGTATCGGTTGAAAAAAAAAAAAAGAGGGTGTAAGTGGAATCATTTATTTAATTAAAAAAAGAAAAAATTATGTGGCAAAAAATAAAAGAAAAAAAATTGATGTGGACAAGAATCAAACAGGCGGATTATGAAAATCTGTTTTTATTTAAAAAACGGATTTTCATAATCCGTTTTTTTT